TAAATAAATATATATTTGAATGTAAATATTTCACCTTTTGTAACTCAGTATGGCAGTTTCTATTTGTCACTGCAGTTCAACTAAATGTTTCTCTTATTAAATATGAATTCTTGAGCACTTTTCACGATATGTAATCTACTTTCTTTGGTGTTTGTAAAGATCTCAACACTGAGCTAGGAAAAGACAATCATTAAAATCTGGTGTTGGTCAGAGTTCATTACCATAAGCAGGGTGGCTCCCAAGGCAAGGCAAAAGAGGATAGGTCCAGTGAGATCCGTTTCATTCATTATGCTGCCATCTGCTGGCTTCAGTGGGTTTAACACTGTCAAAGTTTTTTGCCAAATGTGATCAAAATTGATTCCAAGTTCTGTAAAAGGGAAAGAAGCAAAATGTTATAAATATAGGAAAATAAGCACTAACTCACATTCTTTAAGCACAGGTTACCAAATTGGAAGTTACTGAGTGGTGCAAACGAATAACCCACTTGGGTAAAAACTGAAGGGTTGGAGATTTGAGTCTTTGAAAAATTTGTCATTAATATTTTGCATATGGAGAGGAGTTCTTCTCGGACACTCATCACACAGGTAGCCACCATAAGCAAATCTGTTCAATGGTAGGAAAAAACAAAAGCAACTATATACACTGTCATGGAGTGAATTTCTACTCACAGTTACCCTCCACCAAGTTTCTAAAGCTTAATGTGAGACTTAAATATTTTTTCACTTTATTATATTTGTTTGCATGCAAAATTCATATACACTGTGTTTAATTCATAGACTTAGTGTTTAACCCATTCCTTCATCCACATTGCATTTGATATGATCAGTCTTAATACCGTGTTTGTTATAATTAACTATTTTTAATCTATGCTCACCAGTACCCTATCTCTTCAAATCCTCATTAGATCTTTCTTAATTCCTTTATTCCTTCTTTATGCCCACCAAACTCTGCCACCACGATATTTTCCTCCCTTCCTTGATCTCAGCCATCCTATCCCTACCTCTTCTCCTATTGGACATTTACACACAACTTACTAGTTTTCCTTCTGTTTTCACAATAATGGTCTTATGCAGTATTTGTCCTTAGGAGACTGAGTTAGTTCTCTCCAGCCTCTTCCATGTTACAAAGTATTTTGTGACATTTTTGCTCCTGAGCGCTGCCCGTGAATATACTATAATTTCTTAATCAATTTGTTTGTTGATGAACATTTGGGCTGTTTATGTTTTCTTGCTATTGTGAATAAAGCTGTTATGAATGTAGGTGAACAAATCTCCATTTGTGTCTCAATTCCATTTTCCCCAAGGTGTATTCCTAGCCGTAGACTAACTGAGATGTAGTAAAATAATATGGGATTTCTATCTTCTGTTTAATAGAAGGGACAGACTATTTACCTCCCTCAGAGCAGATGGTGGATTTGAATTCTCAAATGTAATGGTCAGCATAACAACACTCTATATACATTAAATAACTTTAATTTTTAAAAATGTGTTGTTTCCACAGAATGAGATTAAAGAACTAATCCTATCAGGTAAAAGTTCTCTGCCTTACCCAGTACATGTAAGCTCAAAAGCTGCATAAAATTTTGGAAATGGTTAATATACAGTTAATACATTCAATAAAAATTGCAGCTCAGAGACCAAAAGTTCTTTCTTAATGCCCATTTAAATATCTTTCCCCCATGCTTTCAATTACTAATCTTCTGAAATCTTGTCATCTCAAATTTGGCAAAAATTTTATGCTAGCAGCACTTAGCCTAAGTCAGGACATTTGCATTCACTATCTGATGTGCAGAGCAATTTAATGCTAGCTCCCTACAACGCAATGGAGGGGAAAGAAGAAGAAGGGTCGCTCATGAGGCAAGTGTAATCATAATGTGCAGATATCCTTTCATAAGGTCAATGCATTATGCGGTTGAGTATGTGTAGTCAAAGATTAAGTCCCTGAGAAATGTTAACCAGCCCCTTTTATGAGTGGTTGTGTTAGAGCAGGATATCAAAAATCAATGACACTCAGGGTTATAAGTCTAAACTGATAAACACACTTCTCATTTTCTTTTCTCTACTGCTTTCCCAAAGGATTCTGACTGACAGCAGCCTTCTGATAGATTCTGCTCATCTTACATCTTATCTATTAAGAATTTAGAGGTGGCAGTGAGGAAGTCCCGCTTATTTGAATATAACATATAGTGGTATTTCTATGTCAGTGGTAAAGAGTTTTGCTGCCAACTCAAAGGCACAAGGTTCTAATCCACCAGCTTCTCAAAAGGAAAAAGATCTCTTCCTGTGAGATTTAAAGCCTTTGAAAATCCGCTGGAGGGTCAGATAAGAATTGGTTCCAATTCAACAGCACTTGGGCGCATAAGAACAACATCAACACGCAAATAAGGGGCAGTAGGACAGAGCAGAGTTCAGAGCTGTGATCAAAGTTTCTGACAGACAATTGTCTACAAGAGCAAAATGTCTGTTATTCAAACTCAGCAGTTGTTTCATGGGGGAAAAAAGATGCAGCAGTCTGGTACCATAAATATTTGGAGTTCTGGAAACTCGATAGAACAATTCTTCCCCACACTATAGGGTTACTATAAACTGAAATTGGCTCAAAAGCAACAGATTTTTGTTTTGATGGCTCAGTGATAGGATTCTCACTTTCTCTGTGGCAGAGTAGGATTTGATTTCTGAGTACTGCAGCTCAATGACCCTCACATGCAGTCAGTATACCTCAAGTGCAGCCATCACACCTAAAGGACAGACACCATCTGTAGTTAGTGAAAGCTGGCACATTACTAAGATGCTGAACAAGTTTTAAGGGAACTTCCAGATAACAGATTAAGCGAGAAAATAACACAATCTAACGTTGAAAACAAGGGGAGCCAACTCTAAAATAATGGTTTTAATCCTGGATACATTTAAATCCAGAAATGAATCTTTTAACCACCATAATGTCATACAACCAAGCAGAAAAGCAAATAAATTTCCTGAAGTATCCATTCTACAATTATCACACTTGGCACCAGCAGTCAGGAAGTCAAAAGAGGAATTGAATTGGGAAAATCTACTGTCAGAAACTTTTCGAGAGTACTGAAGAGCAACGATGTCAGTCTGGAGACTAAGGTTTTCCTGATCCAGATAAATTACATCAGTTACTTGTTATGCATCAGAGAGCTGGACAGTGACTAAGGATGATGGAAGAAGAATTGATGCCTTTGAGTTATGATGCTGGAGTAGAGTGTTGAGCATACTGTGGAATGCCAGAAGAACAAACAGGTCAGTTCTGCAGAGGGTGAAACAAACTACTTCCTGGAGGCAAGGATTTTGAAGCTCCATCACACGTACTTTGGGCATGTGACCAGGAGGGACAAGTCCTAGGAGAACTTCATGCTTGGACTAGTGGAGGGACAGCACAGGAGAGGAAGACCAATGATAAGATGAACTGACTCAGTGACTCGAGAGGTGGGTTTGGTTATGTCAAAGATGATTAAATTGAGTCAGGATACGGCAGAGTCCAAAATTCCTGTACACAGGGTTGCTATGAGTCACAAGCAAGTCAATGGCACATAACAAGGATAACATAATTTGAAAGCATACATATAAGCTGGTTGAGTCAACGTGCATCTAATCTCAAATTGGTTTTTGTTGTTGTTGTTTTCATTGTGCCCCTTCTCCCACCAGAAGGGCTGTTTCTTTCAAATTCTTTTGTTTGTAGCACTCTCTTTTAAATTCCCAGGATTCAGAAACTCTCTTTAGCCAGATATAATGTGTAGTTAAACTTCTTTTGTAGTGGCATATGCCACATTATATTCGCACTGTGCAAAGTTGATATTCGATGTGCAAAATACAACATGGATGTTTAAATGACCCCTAAGACATAGAGGGGCCTTACTCTAACAGAAACCCATAAATTTTCAAAGAAAGGAAAGACATTAGTCTGAAGAAAAATAGAAAATGCATTCTGTCCCTTATTCCATTCCCAAACTGACACTGACTAAATTCAAAAGGAAAGAATTTGACTTATTAAGAGTGAGTAAAATATAAAACAACTATTAAATATCACCTCACCCCAGTAAGAATAGCAAAATTCAACAAAGCAGCAAACAACAAAAGTTGGCCGGGTTGTAGAGAAACTGGAATCCTTATTCACTGTTGGTAGGGAGTGTAAAATGGTGCAAACACTATGGAAGGCAGTATGGAGCTTCCTCAAAAAGTTGGAAATAGAAATACCATTTGCCCCAGTAATTCCACTCCTGGGAATATACCCTAAAGAAACCAGAACTGCTACCCAAGCAGATATAAGCACACCCATGTTTACTGCTGTGTTGTTCACAATAGCAGAGATGGAAACACCCCAAGTGTTCATCAACAAACAAATGAATAGAGAAGCTGTAGTATATTCACACAATGGAATAATATGTGTTGTTGTAGTTGTTATGTGCCATCGAGTCATTTCCGACTCACAGCGACCCTATGCACAACAGCCCTAAACCCTGCTCTATC